TAGCCGCCCTTTCCAACAAGAAAGAGCGCAGGCTCAAAGGATAAATCCCATCTCCATTGCCAGCAGGGTCACAGGCAAGTCAATGATATTTATGAGCATGACCATTGAAGGCAAAGACAATCCCCATTCTTTATCCATCACCAGGAAAAGACTCCATTGGCCTTGAGAGGGCATATATGGATTTATCCCTCCCTATAGTCTACAGGCTCAGCTTTACGTCTGTCCTCCTTTTGACCGGCCCGCAACACCCAGCCCCAGGCTTTGAATCCAACCCAAGCACTTTCTTTTCAGACAAAGGAAAAGGTAGTATCTGTAATACCTGCAGAACCACACAAGAATTTTGTTCCAAGTGTACCTTTTTTATTAATTCCATATATTTTTATTAGAGTATAAGAAACAGTATGTAACATACACTCCACTTATGTTAATATATTTAAAGGAATCAATGTTTCTTTATTCTGCTTATTCAATAAAGGTAATACACAATTACAAATCTCACATATATGTATTAGTAAAAGCAACATTTCAGTGTAACCATCTCAATGAAATAAGAACATCCAACAAAGCTGAAATAAAATGTGTCAGTATTTTTTCTACAACACTTTATTTGCCTCATATTTTCATGAAGTGTTTCAGGTTTGACAAAACGGTAGGGTTTGGGCTGGAAAAAGCATTCCCTTGGAAAACATTGGACCTGGGAAGTCTGTTAAGCCTTTCATTTTTCAATTTACACTATCAGAGCAAAGCTGGACAAATTAAACCATTCAATCTGTCTCTGATGTTTCTGATTCTCTGCTTTGCATGCAATTATTTGGTTAAAGGTAGCTCACTCTTGGCTCCCTACTCCCAATTTCATGTGTTAACAGTTCCTCCTTGACTTGTGAGATCTGGGCTTCAAAGCATCTCTACCAAGTCTGGCAAAAGCCAGTAGATGGCAGGACCAACCCAGAACTTCACCTCCCTGGGCACCACAGACACTCCCAAAACGCAAATTGGGTGTGTCTATCCCCATTCCAGTTTGATAACCTCAGATAGCAGCTTTCCAGGGGTGAAATAACTCCTCCAGAACCAAGGAAGGATCCATACCCATCTTGATCCCTAATAGCCGAGACCCACAGCACCTCACCACTGAGGATGATCACGAAAGCACAGCCCAGCTTCAGGGTGCAAAAGCATTGGCATCACGGGAGCAAGGGGCTTGTGATAGGGCCCTAAACCTCCAAGCATCCAGATGTGCACCACATCTGCCTTTCCCAGAGACAGGAGAGCATGGATGCTTATATCTCCATTCCAGCATGTAGGCACAGTCACCCGGACCACAGCTACCAGGCTTCCCACAGGGGTGGTGGGACCACAGTCTCCTTCATGGATCCGAGGGAGGCATGTCATTTCAAATAACCCATAACTTGAGTAAATTAACACCAAGCAAGGACATTCTTTGAGTAACGATGTGGATCCTTTGAGTAATGATTAAGCAACCGGCCTTATTTGTTCTGTCTGTTTGTGCAAGGAATTCGTATCAGGTTTGTGTTTTCCAAAAGAAGAAATTTTGCCCTTTTGCAAAAAAACAATTTCTCAAGAACAGTCGGAAGAACTTCGTTTATTTTTAAGTCTTTTTTGGCAAACCCAGCAAACCTGGGTGGAAAGGGCTGGTGCCATGGTAAGCTTCAAGCATGTACAGACAGTACACAAAAATTAGAGCCTTTGTGATATTGGCATAGTGGTAGACAGCAGCAGCTGCCGTTGAAATACGGCCATTTCCAGAATGGAAGCACAGAAACCATTTTCTCATCAGCATGCTCCAAAATGGGCAGGTATTTGACTTGAGCTTTTCTTATTTTCCAGAGAAAACTGTTCTGGGATATTTTATGCTTGTACGGAGGAAAGCTGCCTCCTCTGGTAACCTCTCATCTTGTCAGAAAAGGTGAAGATCTGAGTTTTCTGCTGAGATTCCAACCTCTAATTCCACAGTCCAAGTAAACACATTCAAAGCACTTAAGGGCTGTCCCACCGTGGCCCTCAAGTTCCAAATCAGGTTTAACAAGTCACCAGTTTTAACGCTCTATAAATGCTGGGTTCTTGCTATTTATTTTCTTCTTATTATTAATGTTTTTAATTACTACAGCTGCACATTTTCAGGCCTTTCACTCCTGGGCTTTACAACAGCTGAGGTTCTCACATGATTTCTGGTGCTGGGGATTTGGGGGCAAAAAAACCCAAACAATCTATAGTAGGACCAGAAATTGTGAGAGGTGGCAGAACTGATCATACGATCCTCGGGACTAAACTGTTGAATAACATCTCTTGCATTTCACAACCTGCTACACCCTCCCTCTCTCAAACACACATATATCTATCATCGAGGTCTTTGCCATGTGTTTGTAAGGAAAAACTGCAAATATCTCTTCTTCCATATACTAAGTGTACAGGAATACAGCACATGAGGAGGAAAAACAAAAAGAGACCGAAGAGGAAAAAAAAGTAATCTCCATATGCAATCTATTCATCATCTATAGGCTCAAGAACACATGTGAACTGACCTTCAGATTTGTCCCCTGGCAGTACCATTAATATACCTTGTTATTTGTATAGGGTAAGTAGACTGATGAATGTTCTTCCCACCAGCCCTTGCTCCCTTGCATAACAGAGTCCTTAGCACAAGCAAACTCTGAAACACTGAGAAAGGAAGGAGATGGCCATTGGAGGAGGCAACCAGGTCTCACAACCCTGCTCGTAGCTTTAGCCCATGGGGTTGTCCATCCTCAAGAGCCTCATAAAGGCATAAACACAGCTATGCTGATGGCTTTTAAGTTTACCTCCTCGCTCACAGCAGAGGTGTTTTAAGCATAATTGAATCCAAAACCAAGATACATTTTACCAGACAGCTAGAAAAGTTACAGCCCCATTACTTGCAAGGTAGAGTTCTCTGGGTGCTGCCTTGGTCTCACTATAGCATCTACTCGCACAAAGTGTCAAGGAACAAATTAACCCTGCAAATGAGGTTTCTAACCATCTTGGGAGGAAGACTCAGGCACAGGGAAGCCAGGGAATATTTACCCCATTTCTTGTGATTTTTTTTCCCCTAGTTCTTCCTGCGCTATATGGGCATAGCAGAGGTTTGCGATGCACCTTGAGCCCTGTGGCCCCAGCAGACAAGGAAGGATGCACGAACCAGAGGAAGGCACATCTGAGACCAACGAGACAAGCAATGCATTCTTACCAAACACATCACCTAATTGTAGGTCACATCACGATGACCCTTCCCTCCCTGTAAAGGCTGTCATTAGCATCCGTGTCATTTTAATTAGAAGATGGGGAAGAGGAAGAGGAAAAAACATGTAACCACTTTTGTTGCAAATATTTCTATACATCTGCACACCATCTTTCAAAATAAGCCGTTTATCACTCATTTACGTGGGGACAGAGGTACAACTGAACAATGTGTGCAGCTTGAGAGGCTTTTGTTTGTTTTGTGACACTAAACAGGAGAACTACGTACAAGGAAGGCATGGCTAAAGAGTGACAGTGCTACACCTGATTTTTTGCTGCTAGAAGAGAAAAACAGCCCAGTGCACCTCTGATCAATCAGTGGCAAGTGACAGCAAGCTTTCGCCTGTCAGTTTAAGGCTCTATTTTGGCTTGTTTTATGTCTAGCAGGTCCACAGGTAGGCAAAGCAGGTAGGAAACCAGCACGATGCAAAGGTGGCAGGAGGACACAATCCCCATAGGACAGCTGAGAATTTCCAGAAGCAATGTTGCTGGAAGACCTGGGAAGATCCTGGGATCCCAGGGACAGCAGGAGTGGCAGGTTTGGTGGTGAAGTCACCTTCCGCAGTCCATATGCACCATCAGCCACAGGTTGCCGGTTGAACCTAAAGATCTGAGTAGTGATATCTTTGCCTCTGACTTCACTAGATTTTGCAAACAGACCTGCTGCTCTGGATCATTTAGGTTTCGACGTTATTGTCTGTCACAAGTCCAAAGTGGGGAAATCGAGGCACCAAGTCTTTGTAACGTGCAGGCTAAATTTAGAGGTCCTGTTCCCAGTGCGCTGGCTCCATTAGGAGTAATGGGGTTGACTCAGACCCCAATAACATATGTTTGACTAACATGCACCTGGAACAGGCGATTCCCAAGAGTGGTGAAACCAACTGGCCCAGGGGCGTTTATCAGAAAGGACAGCGACAGGAAGGAGATGGACTTGCTGCTCAAAGGTGAACTGGAAGGCATGCTAAGATGAAGCACTCAAATACCACTTGAGAGGGTAAGAGGCCCTCATACCAGCCATAATATTTGGGTTTTCCATAACAGCATTTCTAATCTCTCTGTCTGGAGCAAGGAAACACACACAGCACACGTCCCGTCTCAGGTAACAACAGGAGCATGTTTATTCATGTCTGGTACTTACAGAGCTCGGAAGGACAAGGTACACGTCATTTGTTTTCCAGAAAAGTCAGCCCAGGATCAGAAGAAACGAAACTTTTATAAAAAGAGACTGCAGCTGCAAGGGGCTGGGAACGTGTCTCCCTTCGGGTCATGCATTCCTGATGCCCAGGTCACCCATTCCTGATGCCCAGGTCACTCATGCGCTGGAGCACACAGGTGCCAGGCACCTCCGCAGAGGCAAGAGGCAGGAACGTCTGAACGCTTGACCGGGTGGTGTCTGGGGTTAATCGGGTCTCGGCAAGTCCCAGCCTTGTTTTAACCAACCTTAGAAACGAGGGAGGGGGTATTAGGTATAAAAGCAGAAACCCTTCCAAAACGATCCACCTTTGCCAAGGAGGTGCGAGAGTGCAGTGGGGTATGTCCACAGAAGGAGAAGAACAGCTTGGCCAAACCGCCCAGGTCTCCGATGCTGGAAGAGCATAAAGTCTGGGAAACAACCACCTTGGAAGCCTGATGAGAAGTAGAGGATCTCCTTGCAGACAGCAACAGAGAAGATATTGGCTAATGAGACCTGCGACGGCCTGTGGAAGACAGCTCTTCCTCAGCCAGCCCCATCACTCGCGAGCCCTGAGGACGTAGATGAAGCTAACGAGGACCCCCAAGGCCAGGACCATGTAGCTGGCTTTCACGCTGCTGGAACCGCTGATGTTGCAGAGGAAGGAGTCGCAGCAGTAAACGGAGGCAGCCGCTATGCCGAGGTTAATCCCGGCGCTGGGGCAAATGGGAGAGCATCCCTTGGAGATGGACTGGCCAGACTTGCTGCCTGAATGTAGGTTGGGGGGGGGGAAAGGAAGAAAAGCAAAAGGAAACGGGTTTAAATGTTTCAGCTTTCTGATCACCTGTTCTGAAAAGGAAATTAACGGCACTGAAATAGCCGAAGTGTCACAGGTGGCACGGAGAGGATGAAGTGCTTCTCGGCATCAGGCTATGACAGTAATCCCAGCCAGCCCACACGTTTCAAGAACACCCGTGATAACCTCCCACACAGACCCTAGAGACCATGCAACATCCTAGGGACACTCCTTCCAGGCTGTTAGCCAAAGTTCGACTGCAAAGGCTGTGGTGAAGAATCTCAAAAATCCCACTCAAGCTTAACCCTGGGACTCCTCAAGCCAGACAGGGAGCACGGGGTGTTCAGAACACCGGGGAGGCACTTGTGAGCAAAGTCTGCGTCTCGAGCATTGGCTGCGAGAGGCGCAGCGCACATTTAGCAGCAGGAAATAGTAAACCATTAGCACTGTGCTAAGATGACTGGTTTTTAAAAGCTCCCAGCCTCCATTTGTGCATGTACGACCCGCCCACGTTGCGAACTATGCAACTCAGGGATACAACACCCCTCCCTCCTGTGAGGGAGAGCAAGGCAAGCCAGTCTGGGCTCTGCAATGGTGTCAGGAGGCCTGCAAGAGCAGCCTGCTTCCCTAGGAGAAGCGACCAGGAAACACAGACAACCCCCAGATCTTTCCCCGCACTTAGGGAGGAAACCTGCGAATCTCCCTTCCTGGCAACCCCACCTCATCCACGGAGAGCAAAGAAGCCAAGGTGGGATTCAGGGGTGAACCACCTCAGCAAATGGCAAAAGCAGGAAGGGCAACCCTGGAGCTTCCCACAGAGGAAGCCTGCAGCATCCTACAAGCTTCATTTAGTCATCAGCAACCTCCCCACCCCCACCCCAAAATTCCCCTCAGACTCCCAGCATCAGTGCAGGCACGTGGCTCTAACATGACTCCGTCTGGCAGCACGTCCCTCATAAAAATTCCCTTGGGGTGGCCCGACATTCAGCCGCTAAGCAGAACTTTCCCCTTTTTCCAGCCGGAGGAAGTTAAGTCTTCCTGCAGGTGACCCAAGAGAGCAGCCAAGAGGGGCAGAAGAAGGTCCTATCAGCACTCACCGATTCCCATTCCGACATAGGTCGTCACACAGTAGTTTTCATTCTCCCCGCACTTGACAGGCTTCAGGCAGGCCCAGTTGGAGGATGCATCCGAGCACGAAAAGCAGACAAGCGTGTGGGCTGCAAGGGAAATGCAGTTTCAGTTAGGGGCTGGTGGGGAGACCTCTTTGCTTGGTGATCCCCACCTCTCACATGTGGCATGCGCCGCCACAGTCACACTTGCTATTTTGGCTGCATCAACCTGTGATAGGTTTTTTCCCAAAAAAAATTGGCCAAGTGAAGGGTTCAAGCCTAAGTGATACATTTCAAGCCCTTTGCAGGTTCAACTGCCAGCCAAAGCCTCAACACAACTGCAGTCTGGCACTTTACGGCATGCTCTTCTTTGCACCAAGAGGAGGTTCAAGCTACAGCTGCCAATTTGAAACTAAACAATGGAGGCAAGTTCAGGCCTGCAACCTGGAGCCTGAAATTTGGGCTTATTAAGCTCAGCTACCATGGTCATTGACGGGAAATGCCCCAGGCATGACCATGGGTTCAAGCTTTCCATGACCTGCCTTTGGCAGCAGGGCACAAAGTTCAGGCTACGCTTGAGCTAGCGCACGTGGTGGAAATGATTTCTCAGATGGAGCAAGCCCAGCATTGCAGCAAGACCTGTGAGGACTTGCACTGTCCCACTACCCAGGAAGTCACAGCACTATGAAGGCAGCATAAGCAACCAGCCTTTTTAATTTGGAGTGGAGAGAGATAGCAAAAAAAAAGCATGCCTTCCTCCATGGCAGGTCCCCTAAAATGGTTTATCCTGTGCCAGCAGGATGGACTGCACCAGCTGGCTCCTATCCCTCATCCTTCAGATCTGCCCAAGAAAGAGGCAAGATTGGAAAATAGCATTCAGTGGTGGGAAACGGTTGCAGAAACAGCCTGGACTGGTGACTCAGCAGGGACACAGGCACTTTGCAGTGGACAGATGATCTTCTCTCTATTTTACATACAAGAACATCACATCCACGCTGCAACTGTTGACCTACATATGCAGGTCTGTTCCCAATGTTTCACAGGCTCTGATTTTTGAGCACTCAGACAGCAAGCCCTTCCATGAGGCACTGCCTTTCTCTTCTGTGTTTACAGGAGGCAAAAAAAAGTGGGGGCTGATTCAGGATGGGAAGTGCAAGGCAGTATCATTCCTGTTCCTACCTCCTGTTCCAGCCCCACCACAAATGGATTATCCTAAGGAGGTGAAACTGGTGAAGCCCTAAGAGAGCTCGCTAAGGCTCAGCAGTCCCTGTCATGGAGCATTTTGAAGAATAAGTTGGACTAATATTCAGCAGCAGCTGTCCCACTCTGCTGTGGGACTGCATGACCTTCTCAGGTTCTTCTCAACTCTGTTTCTCTCAGGAAAAGAAAAGCTTTTTATGAGAAAATTGGGGGAAAAAAATGAACAATTGTTCTCAGAGGAATGATTTTTTAAGCAGCCACAGCCAAGGCAGGGAAAGAAAACAAAAACATAAACTCTGGGAAATGGATTAAAGCGGGTTAGTGGGAGATCCAGAATGTCACACCAAATGACTCCGCTTTGGACACAAAGCCAACACCACAACCTCCTAAGCAAAAATTTCCTGGACTGTCTCATATATCCTTCACCAATCATCAGTCTGTCTATGATCCTTGCAACAAAACCAAGTCACCTGAGCGTGCCGATGCAGCAGTGACAAGCTACACACAGCATCCAGGATTACAGGGCCACCAGTTGAGTCAAAAGCCCCAGGAGAGATTTGTCAGTGGACTAGGAGAGGGGGAGGAGGATGAAGCCAGCCATTGAGTCTATAGGCTGTCATTGTCCCTTGCTGAGCCCTCAGAACATTTCCATGGGTTGGCCAAAACTCGTTCTGGAACCTCAAAGTGAAGCCCAGTTCCCTCCTGCTCCCTAGTCCCCAGCACATTTCTGCTCTCAAGTGACCTGTCCCAAACCCTCCTCCTTGCTCACCCCATTTCACAGGAACCCTCTGTAACCACGAATGACGTGGATTAAAGGCTTCCTGTGGGCATTATGGCAGGACATATATCCCCATATGTATTTGCTCACTATGCTGACCACACGAGTTGAGTGGTGCAGCGCTATTCATTAAGGCTTAAAGGTTCCAGATACAAACGCATCAGAAATAAATATTTGTACACGCACACTAAAGTGCCTTTGGGCATGAAATTCCCTGCCACTAAACCTATGCTCCTACCACAGCATCTCCCACCTGTCCCCATGCTTTTCTTTGTCACACCTACCTATTAACCCCTGTCTGAACATAGACAACATCCTTCCAGTAGAGGCAAGTCTTTCAACGTAGTTTAAGACATGAAATATGCAGTCACAACTAGAGCCACTTTCTGCCCCAGAAAAACAGACAACTAAATAACCCACTGCAGAGTTAAGAGCACAAGCAAGCTGAGTGTTTCAGCCAAAAGGCACAAGAGGGGTGGCAGAATTATTTTATGCAGCTGGAGGCAGAGCAAAGAGTCGGAGCTCAAGGCTACCAAAAAAAAAAAAAAAAAAAGGGCAAAGGGAAAAAAAAAAAAAAAAAGGCAAGCCTAAGACTGAACAATGCAAAAGGGAAGCCTCGTTTTCACCAACTAGAAAATGCAGAGCTCTTCCACAAGAAGAATTTATGTGTTTATTTGTTCACTGCTCGGCTCCTCAGAGGAACAAAGAGCTCCCAAAACAGAGCAGATCATTTGCGGGAATTCCTCAGATAAGAGGTTGAATCCATTCTTGTAAAAAAGCCCACTCTGAAGCTCAGCAGCATCAGTAAAAAATGCTGTTGCTTCGGCAGCTTTTCTATTTGGTCCCTATGCTGAACGCTCTTTCCTTTTCCATTGCTCTTAACCAGATCCTTACATACTACACGCAAGATCTTCAGGGCACTTTGAGAAGGGAGTAAAGCTTTTCTGCAAAAGACTCCCTGGATATGCTGGAAGCAGTTGGGGATAAAGCTACCTGCAAGAAACCCTTTCGCCTGGCTAAGAACTTACTTTAAAGCTGAAAGGGTTTTTTTTGGGGGAGGGAAAGGAAAGTGAAATCCGTTATTGCCTTGGCCTGGACAGCCCATCCTCCCAGCTGGAACTGAGCACACGCCAGCTGGGCTCTTGACAGAGACCCAACGCTTGAATTGCCAGTTGCTTCCCGGACCCCACTCGGAGGGGGGCATGGAAAGGGCTGCAAACAACTAGTTTCTTCTCACCGGTGTCCTCAGGAGACAGGAAGGGCCTGTGTTTCCTGAGCAGGGGCTCAGAGGGCCCAGAATTCTTTGTTTGGCTTCTCCAGCCACCGACATATGGAAACAATATGCGGTTTTGCACGGCCCCGTGGAGTTTGGAGAGTCAGAAATGGAGTCGACGGGGACTGCAGACCCTGGGACTTGGGACAACTTGCAGTTTAACGCCCAGCCACAGGAAGCACGTTCTCCTCAGCTTCGGGGGCAGCCCCCAAGATGCGCTCTACAGGGCACGGTCCCTTGGGGGTCGCTGCCTTACACGCTGGCAGCCTGCCCTAAAGGATGCTGGGGGTGGGCAACAGGAGCCGAAATCACGAGTGGCTCTGCCCACACTTTGCTCCATCAGCCATCGCCAGGGCTGGGCTCCATCTCCCCTCCACCCTCCTTCCCCTCGGCTGCATCTCAGCCCATTTCGGCGCCGTTATCCCGGCTCACTGCACCGAAATGGGGGAGCAGAGCCGGCCCTGTTCTTTGTTCGAGCTGCAACTGGGAAAAGCACCAAAATATCCACATGCACAGCTGGAGAGGCACACCTATCCGTACAAGCACCGAAGCCCTGAAGTTCCTGCTTCAGGAGGGACACTGCCGCCAGGCAGGTCTTGGAGGGACACCCCCCCACACCCCCCCACCCCGCGACAAACCCCGGCACGGCTCAGCTCTGT